CCTCTGGCATCCCAAGCGAGTTCTTAACCATCGCGCCACTCGGCCGGCCCCAGATAGTAAATATTTTTGGATTTGCAGGCCATGCGGTCTCTGTCACAACTATTCAACTCTGCCAAGCACAGAGCAGCCCCACACCAAACACAATGAATGAGCATGGCTGTGTTTCAGTAAAACTTTATTAACAAATGCAGGCCGCTGGCTGGATTTGCCCGCAAACAGTGGTTTACCTACTTCTATTCTACAGGGATCTGGTCTGTCTGCTCCCAGCAGCATGCACGCCTCACTCTGGAAACAAGATCTCTCCTTAACCCAAGGGAGATGCCATTGTAACAGATGGGGAAACTGAGGCCTGAGCAGTAAAGTGGGATGTGGGTGTCACCTGGCAGAGGACAGTCAAGCTGAGACTCCTACCGACTCCAAAATCTGCATTTTCTTTTTTTAACTCAGTTTTTGAAATTTATCTTTTGAAGAGGCACTACAGTTAGTTACAGTGGGCAATATAGTTCAAAATTCAGAAAGCTCTGCGGCTACATCATGACAAGGGTCTGTCCTCCTGTCCGGCCACCACTTAGCTCCCCATCTAGAAGCAAGAGATGTTACCCGCTTATTGTATTTCCTCCCAGAGATACATCACAGAAGCAAAAAATATATATACAGTCAATTCTCATTATTTGCTGTAGTTATAGCCTATAAAGTTGCTGCATACACTGAATTAGGGATTACTAAACCTTTGCTCCCAAGGGAAATATGGGGTAAGGTTCCTGCGAGCTTCTGGTACATTTTCTCCAACCAATCAATACATAGCCTTATTGTATGTGTGTTTCTGTTTAAAGACAACTATTTAATATATCGTTGATTCATTAACATTGAACTCACAGCCAACAGCACTATAACTCATGCCTGAATGAAAGTTATCTAGTACATGTATTTTTCCCTAAGCAACAGAGCCTTCTTGCACGCAGGAACACTAAGTGGCACTTCTGCATCACACCTGGGGGGCATTTTCAACAGCAAAATCACCAACAAAAAGATGTGACAAACATGCACTAAAAGGACAGTTGTTGACAGTATGAGAGATAAGAAATAAGAAGACAGAGCAACCTCAGCTGGGAACGTGTTAGGTGACTCAACTGCACGTGTCCATGAGTGACTGGGAAAGTGCATGAGAGAGTATTGATTTGAGGATTACAAATGACTTTTAGCAAGTAGGCAAATTTGCAAATATGGAATCTGCAAGTAATGAGGATCTACTGTATATAAGTTTGAGGGATTTTTTTATACATATGGGAACCTACTCCAGTTTTACACCCTGCTTTTTTCCATTTAACAATATACCTCGAAGCTCACACGAGACCTCCTCAGTGTGTCTTACAGCCGTAGGTGCTCCTTGTCCAAATTCACGGCCATATGCTTTATCATTTCCTTGCTGATGCACACGGGGGCCATGTCCACTGATACAGTGGACACACAAAAGTCATTTAGTGCACGTGTGTTTAGAGCTGTCAGGATTGCTGCGACAGAGGGTGTTTGTCCTCGCAGTGAATATTGCCACATTGCCTCCGTGGAAGTTTTACCATTGTTTTCTTGTCTGTAATGGTGCCTGATCTTGGATTTGTAACCACAGCACACTTTCTCAGAGGCCCTTAGGGATGCCCATTGGCACTTTTCCCAGGAAAGAGCCAATCCGGCAGTCCCCTAGGGGCACTGGAAGGTGCCAGATTCCAGCAGTGGTTCTCTCTCCCCAGGTGCCCTCCCAGGGTCCCAGGGGCCTCCACTGCAGCTCAGCCGCCCACAACTCTGACTCATCTCTGGTCCCACGCCCACCTGAGCCCCTGCGGAAACCCGCCAAGACCCTGGCACCCCACGAGGAGCTGTTCAGCCAGGCGCCGGATGGGGCACGGGACAGCTTTGTGCGGGCCCTGCAGAACTTCGGGCAGCACAATGTGCACAAGCGGGGCCACGTGGACTTTATCTACCTGGCCCTGCGCAAGATGAGGGAGTATGGTGTCGAGCGGGACCTGGCTGTCTACAACCTGCTGCTCGACATCTTCCCCAAGGAGGTCTTCCAGCCTCGCACCATCTTCCAGAAAATCTTCATCCACTACCCCCGGCAGCAGGAGTGCGGGATTGCTGTCCTGGAGCAGATGGAGAGCCACGGTGAGGCCAGCAGGCTTGCGGCAAGGGAGTGGCTGTCTCCCCCTCCTGGGTCAAGGCCCCTCCATCACTGCATGGCTCTGACTGTCTCCTGTCTGTCTGTCTGGCCTGCTCCCCTTTCCCGTCTTTCTCAGTCTTTCTGTCTCATATCTTTCCTCTCTCTGACTTTTCCTTTAAATTCTGTTGGATTCTGTCCTCCCTCTCTGCCATCAATTCCCTGACTTCAATTCTCCCTTTCTCTGGTTCTTTCCATCTGGCCCTCCCATGATTCCTTCTTGGTCCTGGTCCCCTCTGCTGGTCCCTGTGGCCCGCGTCTCCCCTCCCTGAGGTTCTGCCACCATCTACCTGGCACAGGGGTGATGCCCAACAAGGAGACGGAGTTCCTGCTGATTCAGATATTTGGACGCAAAAGCTATCCCATGCTCAAGTTCGTGCGCATGAAGCTGTGGTTCTCCCGTTTCAAGAACGTCAACCCTTTCCCAGTGCCCCAGGACCTGCCCCAGGACCCCGTGGACCTGGCCAGGTTGGGCCTGCGGCACATGGAGCCTGATCTCAGCGCCAGGGTCACCGTCTACCAGGTATCCACCCTTGGCCACCACTCTGGCCTGGGCCCCCCTTCACTCAGCCCAACAGGCCATGATTCCAGGCTGAGGCCTCTGCTAGATTCCCATTGCCCTCACTCCTCATGGCAGCTTGACTCCTGACCTCTGCTCCTACCTCTCACCCCACACACCCTATAATCCAAGCATCTGCCTGCCTTTCTGTTCCTTGCGTGATCTGTGCCAGTTCCCTCCTTAGGCCTTTACACTTTGCGCTCACAGTTCCCTCAGCCAGGAACACTTCCCCAGGGACTTCGTGTTCTTCCAGTCTCAGCACCATTATCCCTTCCTCAGGGTCCCCTTCCTGACCACTGCTTCCCTCTACTGACCTTGGTTGCTCATTCACTGTGACTCAGTTTCCCCTGTCACCCAAGGCCCAACGTGGGGTCTGACACAAAGCTGACACTCAGCAGTTTGTTGAATGACTGAATGAAATATCCCATTCCTCCCCATGTCCTGGGGGCCAACTCATGCCAGGCCATGGAGGATCCAAAGAAAGCCCCTCACAGCACTTGTCTGATTATGGAGGCTGACACTGAATAACAGACAGTTTCCCTCAGAGGCACTGGTTCTGAGATGGAGAAGCCTGGGGGCTGTGGTAGCCCAGAAGGAGCAGGGAGCAGGGAGGGCTTCCTGGAGGAGGTGAAGGTGAGTTGGGCTCAGGCAGGACAGGAGGGGTGAGGACAGTATTCCAGGGAGGGAGCAGCACGTGCTGAGGCTTGGAGAGTTAAAGGAGATGCTTAAAGAGCTTCCTTTGATGCAGGAGGTCGGGGTGGGGAAGAAGCATGGAGGATGATGGTTTTTTAACCTGTTGGTGAGGAGAGAGCCAAGAGGAGGGATGGGACGGAAGTCAAGTTTCTGGAAGGAGCTGCCATTTTGAAAGTGCTCTCTAATGGCTGTGTGGGTGATGTTAGATGTTGGGGGAGAGGGCAGAGAGGCTAGGATAGTGGTGTCCAGGTAAGCGAGAACAGAGACTTGGCCTTGAGTGTAGCCACAGATTGCAGGGTAGTTTTTAACACATTTCTTCATTTTTTTAAAGTAATGCATTAAAAAGTCAAACAGTACATAAGAACAAACAATGAAGAGTTCTCTCCTCTCCTGACCCTTCAGCCCCGTCTCCCCCAGAGGTAATCACTTCTGTGTTCCTTCCAGAAAGATCCCATGCGTTTGCAAGCAGATACATCCCTTTTTTTTTTTTTGCACATATATCCTTTTTGTTTAAATGGTCTATTTTCCCCATCTCCTTATGAAAAATACAGAAAGGCTGAAAGCATGGTAAAATGGTCACTGACACTACCTAGTTTTAGAAGGGAAACAATCCAAGTGTCCATCAAGAGCGAACTGTGCCTGCAGACTGTGGCACCTTAATCAAAGATGGGTGAAAAGAACAAGTGAAAAGGTGAAGTACGTACAGTGATATAGCCGGCTATCTTCAGCATAAGAAGGGAGGGGAAATAAAAGTGCATACATCTATTTGCCTATTTTCACAAAAATAATGCAAAGATAAGTCAGAAATATGTAGAAATCATCATCTCTAGGCAGGCAGAGATGGGGTAGAGAGAATAGGAATGGAAGAGATACATGGGTTTATTTAATACAGGTTGGCTTTTAAACTATGTAAATGTTTAGTGTATTAAATAAAAAAGAGAAAAACACCACCAAAATTAAAAACAAACAAATGGAAGTGGCTAAATATCTGATAGCATAACCAATGAGAAAAAAATTCTTCTGAGTCACTGTCATCTGACTGCCCATCCTTAGTGGCAGAAGAAATGAGATCTGCAGAGAAATCCTGAACTTAATACCACAGCATTATGGTTAGTAGTAATATCAAAACTATTTATGCATATTGATACATAAGTCCAATAAGTGCATGAATTACTGCTGATAGGTACCAAGATTTTTAGCATGAAATACAATTATACAATCAAATGTTTAAAAACTCCATAGTGTTAAATTTGAAATGAAAAATCTGTATAAATATATTGTCCAGTAAAAGGGCCCCGAAGCAAAACATACTTTTTCTACCCCCAAAAAATATACTTTAAAGTCTTTCTCCAGTGGCAGAGCATCACACACGTTCAGCATGTGTGATTCAATCAGAGCATGATTCAGTAATATAGTGGAGGCGTCCATTCTATGTTTGTATCCACTGATCCACTTCAGTTCTTTTTAACTTCAAATGATGGATGATGTGTGTGCCAACAGTAGTCTGCTCTCAGATGTGTTGGCCACAGTGTATAGAGTATATCTTCCCTCCCTGTCCTCTACAGAGGCAAACACTGGGACTTGCTTCTTTTGTCTTTTCTGGAATATTCTGGGCGTGTGGAGTTATTTTTCTCCAAATTTTACAAGCACTGAGCACTTAACTATGTGCCAGGCACTGTTCTCAGCATATTTAGAACCATCTCAAGTAAGTGTTGTTGTTATCCCCATTTGTACTGGAGAAACTGATGCACAGGTACAGTGACTTGGCCAAAGTCACACAGCCTGTGGCAGAGTCCAGATTTTAACACAGGTGAGTGGACTCCAACGTTCCTACTGTGTGAGCATCTTAAATGTTGGTGGCTATTATGCCGAATTGGACAGAAGCAGAAAGAGGGAGGGCTTGAGTGACATGTACGAGGCTCAGTAGACGGGCCCAAAATTCGCTGGGACCCTCCCCCTTCCCAACTTCTCTCTCCCCTGCTCTGTAGGGGCTGGGGGTTGCAAGCTTCCACTCCTACTCTTCCTTGTAGATGCCTTCTTTGAAAGACTCCACAGATACAGCGCATCCCACGGAGCCTCACATCGTAGGTAAGGCCCTCCGCGTGGAGCAGCCAGTTTCTCACAGGAACTGTTGGGTGGACTCAAGGGCTTTGGACTGAGCCCCTCAGCCAGGGCCCCTTGGGCATGCATTTCTCCGTACCAGGAATCCAAAGTCCCGATCAACAGGCTGCCCTGGCCCGCCACAACCCAGCCCGGCCTATCTTCGTCGAGGGCCCCTTCTCCCTGTGGCTCCGCAACAAATGTGTTTATTACCACATCCTCAGAGCTGACTTGCTGCCCCCTGAGGAGAGGGTGAGGGCCCAAAGCATGAGTGGGGGGTGAGGGGGTTGGGCTGGCACTGCCCTGAGAGCTTGTGAGGGCTGGTTCTGGATGGGGTGGTGGTGGCAGTTCCAGGTGGTGGTAAGGTGGAGACTGTAGATGGCTGTAAGATCCTAGGCCTCCCATTCTGCCTGCACTCCCACTCCCCATAGGAAGCGGAGGAGATCCCGGAGGAATGGAACCTTTACTATCCAATGCAGCTTGACTTGGACTACGGGAGGAGCGGCTGGGATGACTATGAGTTTGACATTAATGAAGGTAAAAACTGGGATGAGCAGGACTCCACAAACAACACACTGGATGAGGTGCAGCCTTTGGGGTCAGAGGGTGGGGTCCAGGCTGAGACCCAGCACATTTACCACAAGTACACACACACACACACACGTTAGGGGCTCCAGGCCTGTCAGCCCTCAGAAATGGAATCCTCTGTGCTGGCTACCAAGCTTAACCAGGACAGTGGAGGAACAGGTAAGTTATATTCTTGGGGTCTCAGGGAAGGAGCACACTACCTAGTCTCAGATGGGGAGTGGGGAGGACTTTCTGGTGGAATCTTCAAGAACCAGGAGGCATCACACAGGTGAAACATGGGATAGGCAGTCTATGTAGAGTATCTAGTGCAAATGCTTGGACACACAAGAAAGCTGAAAGGGAGCTTGGCCTGGAAGGTGGTGAGCATGAAGTGTGTGTGTGGCGGGGGGGCTGACTCCCTCTCCACTACATAAACTCTGAGGGCCTGTCTCTACCAACAGTGGAGGAAGGTCCTGTCTTTGCCATGTGCATGGCGGGTGCCCATGACCAGGCCACACTGGCCAAGTGGATCCAGGGCCTGCAGGAGACCAACCCAGCCCTGGCCCAGATCCCCGTGGTCTTCCGCTTGGCAGCATCCACCGGGGAGCTCCTGGCGTCCTCAGAAATAGAAGAGCCGCCCCCGCCACCACCCGAAGGGCAGGAAGAAGAGGAAGATGATTCACAGCGACAGCAGCGGGGCCAGAGCTGAGCCTGAGCGGACACAAGGGCACAGGCTTGGACTGCTGTGAAAGCATGAGATGACCTTTGAATGTACAACAAATAAAAGTTTTCCGGCGTGGGGCTGCCTGCCCTTCCCTCCTCTGGCATTGTGGCATCCCTGCCCCTTTAATACCTAGTGGCACAGCTTTTCAAGGGCTCTCCAGCATCCAGGACAGGTCAGACCTAGGCCTGCCTTCTGCTTTCACCTGACAGCTCCCATCCTTACCTTGTCATCTTCAACACGCACTCAAGATAAAGTCACGGAGGGAGAAGCCCCCACCCCCCAAGGGCTACGGGTTCATCTGTCTCTTTCTTCCTGGAGTTGCCCTCAAACTTTCAGCACCTCCCTCCATCTCTAGTAAGTTATAAAGTTGAACAGAAAAGGAGTAAGAAGACGGTGGGCTGTTGCACGTGCCTGTTGCGCGCATGCGCACTTTTCGTGTTCGGCCTCCTTTTGGCGCCGCGAAGTAGTGAGTCCGTGAGAAATTACCCGGCGGCGCTGAAGATGCGCGCCACTTCCGGTCGGGCTCCTAACAACGGGGGAGGCTGGTAACCAGGGAGGGGGGGATGGCGGAGCGGGCGCCTGAGGCAGAGGCGGAGGCTGAAGCGGGAGCAGGCGGGGAGGCGGCCGCCGAGGAAGGCGCGGCGGGCCGTAAGGCGCGGGGTCGGCCGCGGCTCACGGAGTCAGACCGGGCCAGACGGCGGCTCGAGTCCCGGAAGAAGTACGACGTGCGGCGCGTGTACCTGGGCGAGGCGCACGGGCCCTGGGTGGACCTGCGGCGCCGCAGCGGCTGGAGCGACGCCAAGCTCGCCGCCTACCTCATCTCGCTGGAGCGCGGCCAGCGAAGCGGTCGCCACGGGTGAGGGGGCCTGGCTCGAGGGAGGAAGGGAGGGAGGGAGGGAGGCGACGCCCCCATCCCCCGCTGAGTCTGGGCCCGCCCCTCCGCCCAGGCCCCGCCCCTAACACCTCTGAGCCCCGCCCAGCACCTCGGGTGCTGGCCTGGGTCTCCCTCTGACTGTCGGTCTTAGAGCGTGCCTGGCTCCCGGCCCCGCCTCCCGTCGCTCCGACCGCCCAATCCTAGAATGCGCCCAGCCTCAACCTGCCTCCTGGGCGCTTGGCCCCGCCCGCTAGAGCTCTGGCTGCCCAATCCCGGTACGGGCCCCACCTGCAAGCGTTCTAACTGCCCTGTCCCTGGAGGGGCGGCCCCGCCTCCTGAGTCCTCCGTGGCCGTAGGTTCCTGCTGACCCGTGGGATTTCACAGGCCTCATCCCCTAAAACCCCCACAGTGTAGCCCGAGACTATGATGGGCCCACCCTGGACCACCCAACCCTGCCCCTCAAGAGGTTCCGGTGCCCCAGCTTGGACTGTGTGTGGCCCCATTCCCACAACCCTAGAACCCACATACCTTGAGGACCCCTCACAATCCAGATCGCATTCCTCTATACCTCTTGGCTTCTGTGGAGCACCTTAGCCCAGGGAGACGGAGCTGAAGAGAAAACCCAGAGTAAGCTGCACAGGTGGAGGGCAGAGAGAGGCCTTTGCAGATCTGTCTTGAGAATGAGCGGTGTTGGTGGAATTTTTCGCTTCCAGCCTTATAGGTTGATGTGATGATTAAATGAGTTAAAATACAGCAAAGGACTTAGAACAGTGCTGGCACATAGTGAGCACTCTAGGTATTAGCTGTTAGGATGATGTTTGTTTTCTGTCACAAGCAGTGCTACAACAAAAGCCTTTTTCTGCTCTGGTTTTATTTGCACACATTCTCATGTTTCTCTGGGGAGAGATTCTAAGGGTCAGGAATCAACCAGATCCTGCCTAATTGTACCCACACTGTTCCTCAGGGTGGCAGGCTGGTTCATATGCTCAAGAGCATGGCGGGAAATGATGAGTGCTTTAAAAACCTCAAGCCAGTGTCCAACTATTGGAGTTCTGGGTGGAGTTGCAGACCCTGTATTTTTTTTTTTTCTGCAAAGCTGCTGGAGAGACTTGATTTGCAGCCGGAGAACTGGCCAGAGGGAGCCCCTGGAGGTCCCTAAACTGAAAGTGGTATTTGCAGAAACTTGGTTTGCCTGAGCTGGAGCTGTGTGGGCCTGCAGAACTGGGCGAGGGCACTGAGACAACCTGGGCAGTGAGTGGCAAAAACCTGGCCCTGGGGCCCATCGGTAGTCAGGAAAATATACTAACCTGGGTGAGGAGTATCCTGTGGGTAATAGGCGTGACCAGAGGTAGGGAATCAGTTATTTCAATTGTTCAATTATTTATAGCCTGTCTTATACCTGGAAAGATTTTAGTTCAAGGGCTGTACAACATGGACAAGAAGATAGAAGTGAAAAGAAAGGAAAACAAAGGCCACAGCGAGGCCAGTATCAGTGCTTTTGGATTGCGGCATAAGTCACAGGGAACATGACAAGGGCAGTTTTGTGGCATGGCGAGGGAAAAACCTGGCCAGAGGGGTTCGAGAGACGTGAAGTGGGAATGGCGAATGGGCCATGCATTTGCCTTGGAGCTTTCTAGCAGCCAGTGGGAAAAGGGAAACAGTGGTCTGTAGCAGAATTTCTAGTGTTTCTTCATTCATTTGTTTAAGGAACATTTATTGAGCACCAACTATGTGCCAGACACATGTATAGGTGTTGAGGTTACAGCAATGAACAAAAAGATCACTGCCTCATGGAGCTGACATTTTAAAGGGCAGAGGGCAGAGGCTTGTCTGGCATGCAAAGGCTTGTCTACTGCAGACAAGAAACCTAATAAATAAATTATGTAGTATGTGAGAGATTGATAGGGGCTATGGAAAAAATAAAAGTGAAATAAAGAGGAATCAGGAGTGTGAGCTGGAGGTTTAAATAGGGTATCGAGGGCCACCTTGAGAAGACTGCATTTGAGTAAAGACCTGAAGGGGGCCAGGGAAAGCCATACAGATATCCAGAGGAAGAGTGTTAGAGGAAGGAGGAATAGCAAGTGCAGAGAGGCCCTGAGGCAGAACCCTGCCTGGTGTCCTGATCTGTACATGGGCCAGCAAGGGCAACATGTAGCTGGAGCACAATTAGTGAGGGAAAGGAGTGGGAGGAGACGAGGGCAGGGAGGTGATGAAGCCTGTGGGCTGCAGGGAGGACCCTGGTTTTTCCTCCCAGTGAAGTGGGAGCTCTGGTGGGATTTTTTTGCCTTCCTTAAGTGCAGAATTTTGAGTTCCGCTCAAAAATGCAGAGAGGTCACATGTCTAGCTTAGATGTTAAAAGAAACACTCACCAGGGTGTTTGTGGCGGGAAGAATGGGTGGAGTATAAGTTGAAAGAAGGTTGGCCAAGAGTTGACAGTTATTAAAGCCAGTGATGGGTTCAAGGAGGTTCACTCTTCTCTCTAGCTTTGTGTGTGTTTGTATTTGTCTTTTCACATCTTAAACTCATGAGAAAATTGAAAGAATCATCCTGACTCCTATGTTGACACTATGAGAGGGGAGGGCAGGAGCTGGGAGACCAGAAAGGTCCAGGTGAGCCATGATGGGCTGGACTGGGGCAGGGCCATGGGAAAGTGGAGAGAAGTGGTTGAATTGGAGGCCAGCAGCGTTCACTAATCAGTGTGGGAATGAGAGATGCCACAGGTTTGGGCCTGAGCGCCTGGAAAGTTGCAGTTGCTGTTAACTGAGAAGGGTCAGATTGGGGTTCAGAATGATAGCTTTCATATGAGACTCCTACATGGGGTGTCAAGGGAGGGGGTTAGAGTGGTGGTGTGGTGGAGAGAGGGCCAGGCTGGAGATGGGTGTGGGCGTCACCAGGATGGTGATGGTACAGTGATGAAGCTTGCCAAGGGGATGCGTGTGAACAGAGCACACAGGTCTGAGCCCATTGCCATTCTCCATGCTTCAAGAAGTCAGAGGTGAGGGAGAAGGAGTGGCCTGGGAGGCCGGCGGAGGGCCAGGCAGGGCAGTGTCATGGAGGCCAAGGGAAGGATCTACCGGTCAAATACTGCGGGGCTGAATGAGACAGCCATCCCTGGTGATTGTAACCAGAAAGTGTGTGGCATGGTGGAGAAAAATCCTGACCAGAGGGGGCTCAAGAGAGATGAAGTCAGAGACATGGAGACTGCTAGTGTAAACAACTCAGGCAAAGAATGGCAAAGGAATGGAGTGAAAGTTGGCAGGAAAGGGGCTCGAGGTCATTTTAATCCAAGATGTTAGAAGTACCAGCGTGTTTGGATGCTGGTGGGAATATCAACTCGAGAGTGAAAGCAAAGTGCAGAGGAGCGCAAAGAACAGTTGCTGGCCGCCATTTGGTGCTGGCCACTGAGAGGAAAGCACAGCCAGGCCCTGGAGAAGTCCCAACAATAACTGTTGTCCTTAAATGCAGGTGACAAATACAGGGAGTCACAGACGTGGTAGAACTTAGAGACGCAGGCAGTGGGGGAAGGTAGTTTGGGTTGAAGGAGAAAGCACTACATTAAGGTCAGAATGTGGCCTGACCCCATTTAATCCCTACAGCAGCTCTGTGGGGGAGGCACTGCTGTTATACACATTTCACAGATAAGGAAACTGAGGTCAGAGGGGATGGGACCTGCTTGAGGTCACACAGCCAGTCGATAGAGAGATGAGACTTGAACTGGGATCTAACTGATGCCAAGCCTGTCCCCACCACTAGATGTTCCCAGCACCCCAGCCATAACGAGGCCATAATCAGGTGGCAGTGGCTGTGTTTAGACTTGGGTTTGCAGAAGGGTCTGAGCAGCCTGATCCCTTGGTGGAGATAGAGGCTCCTGGGATGGGCGAGGGGGAGCGGATCACCAGGCAGAGGTTAGATCCTAGGGAAGGAAGGACAAAGAAGACTTGGGGCTCAGCGACTGAGAATTGTTATCAGGCTAGACACGACAGAGTGGAGCTGAGAAGAGGCCCTGAACTGGCTGTCAGGATATTTGTGGTGAGAGCATGGCCCCGGCCACAGCGAGGAGGTCAGTGTTCCAGGGTCTGGCTCTGTGATAACATTGATAATCATAATGATCATTGTCACCATTTGCTGAGTGATAACTGATTGCCAGAGCTGCACCAAGCTACTTACAATGTACATAACCTCATGCCAACCTCATGAGGAAGGTGCTGTTATGATCCCTTGCTACAGATGGAGAAACTGAGGCACAGGGAGACAAGGCCACTCACCCAGGGTCACGGAGCCTGCTGCTGCAGCTTAGAAAAGGAAGAACAAGAAAGCCGCCAGAGTGAGGTGGGCAGACCTGGAAGCATGGTGGCAGGAAGGCAGAGGGAGGCCCCTAGAGGGTCCGGGAGAGATGGATCCAAAGTACCTGCCCTCAGTCTATGTAGAGCTGGTGCTGAACCAGGTAACCCAAGTGGGGTTAGGAACCCACCTGATGGCCATCTTGGTGTAGGAGGCCATAAGGACCCTGGCCTTTGGGCCCGGCCCTGCCCTGGGCTCCCTGAGGCCATGGCTCACTGGGGCATGCAATTGGGGTGTTGAGCCTCAGCCAGCGTGGGGAAGGCCCTAGAGGCAGGTGGTTGACTGGGCCCGAGCTGGCTGCAGGAGCAGGACTGCTGGAGGGGGAGCACCTTGGGCTGGGGCCCTCGTAGAGTAGGCAGTTAGGGTCAGGGAGCGATGCCAGCCCTCCAGGCTGTGTCTGAAAATCTCCCTGGGCTCGTGGCCAGCCTGGGGGACAGACTCTGCAGGACCCTGGATTGGGCAACCCCGGTTTTACTACTGTGTAACAAATGACCGCAAACTTAGTGGCTTAAAACCACACAAATTTATTATCTCACTGTGGGTCAGGAGTCTGGCACATTTATAGCTGAGTCCTCAGCTCAGGGTCTCACAAGACTGAAATCAAGGTATCAGCCAGCTGTGTCTTCATCTAGAGACAAAACTAGGTAAAGATCTGCTCCCAGACTCCCTCAGTGCTTTGGCAGAATTCGTGTGCTCATGGTTGTAGGACTGAGGTCCCTGCAGTCTTGCTGTCTGTTGGCAGGACTGCTCTCTGCTCCTGGAGGCAGTTCATTCTAATGTCCTTGCCACGTGACCCCCTCATTCTCAGCCTCTGGCCTCTGACTTCAGCAGGACCCTTTTAATGGCTCCCTTGATTAGGTCAGGCCCACCTCCATAAGCTCCCTCTTGATTACTTCAGTCACCTAGCCACAGGAGTGGTATCCTGTCATATTAACAGGCATGCCCCACTCATGGGGTGAGGATTATACAGGACATGTACCCCAGAGGGTGGGACTGTGGGGCCATCTTAGAATTCTGCATGGCACCACCACCAACTTTCTGTACCCCTTTCTGACCTCTCCACTCTCTGGTTACGGGACCCTGGGCTGGAGGCCTCACCAGCTGAGTGAGCCTCAGAGTTTTACTCTGTGAGGTGGGTGATGATACTAGACCTCCCTACAAGGGCTGGGGTCCATGCAGGAGAGAGCCCAAGTGAAGGGTCGCAAGATCTAGAACAGGCCCAGGAAAGAAGTTAACATTCTGCCCCAGAGCAGGATGAGCAGTAGCCGGAGTTGCTGTTATCATCTCATCATCAGTCAGGCCCTGCGTCACTCCCCGCTGCCTCTCTCTGTTACAGGAAGCCTTGGGAGCAGGTCCCTAAAAAGCCAAAGAGGAAGAAAAGTAAGTAGGACTGCAGCCAGGGGGGTGGGACCGGGTGTCGGGAGTAACTGGCTTTGTTGTTCTTTCCCTCTCTCCCTCCCTCCATCCCCCTTTGCTTCTTCATCCTCTCAGGGGCCTTTTTTGGAGGGCCTGCATATGGCAGGCGTTGTGCAGAATAGGACAGACCCAGCCCTGCCTTCACAGAGCCCACAGTCTCATGGGAAAGACAAGGGACCGGCTGAGCATGGCTACGATAGAGAAGTTGGGGCACTGGGGCCCAGAGGAGGAGCCTGACCTAGCCCCGGGTGGGGCCAGGACTAAATCTGTGCTTTGCCCATTGTGTGCCCTCATCATCCCCATCTCACACATAAAGACCCCCAGGAAGGCCGAGTCACTGCCCCAGGCTACACAGCTTGAAGATGGCAGTACTAGACTGCAACTCAGGTCCTCCAGTCTCCTAGTGGTCCCCATAGCTCCTCAGTTCTCCTTCCCGGTATGTGGGAGTCAGCCAGGGAAGAGTCAGGAAGAGCAGAGGGAACAGCTTGTGCCAGGGCCTAAAGGGCATGTTATGTGCCAGGCTCAAGAGGAGCCAGGCGTGGGCAGTCAGAGCAGAGGCCTGGAGCCCATCTCTCCTGACCCTGAGCCCTGGGGCTGTGGGTCTTGGGCCATGTCCAGTAGGGTGAGAGCCAGCAGTCCAGGGACAGCTGTCTGGTGGCAGTGAGCCCCACTCCTTCTCATAGTTCTCAGAGGCAGGGGCCAGGTGAGCTAAGACTGTGACCCCCAAATCCCAAAAGGGTGGGGATGGAGATAAGGAGGCAAGTGGCGGTCTAGAGAGGCGGCTGCTGGCGGTGTCCCCATGGTTGTCACTGTTGGAGGCCCTGGGCAGCATCTCTAGGCCCAAAGACCTTACCTGGGCCCCCTCCTCATCTCCCAGCCTGGAAGGTTGGGGGCACACCTTTCTCCCACTCTGTTGAGGGACCAGAATTGTCACACATATTGCTGGTACCAATTCTTGGGCACTCGCAGTGTGCTCAGCCCCATTCTGTGTCCTGTTGATGTCTTAACTCCCTAACCTCCTCCCTAGCAGCCCTCAGGAAATGGGTACCCTTTATTCTCCCCTGGCCAGAGCGGGCAACTGAGGTTCAGAGAAGGCAAATCACTTGCTTGGAGCCACCCAACTAGAAATTAGCAGAGCCAGGATTTGAACCCTGGTGGTCTGACTCCACCTTCCCCACCCCCTCATATATACAGGAAGAACAACACAGATAAGTGTCCCTGCTCTTGGGGAGCTGACACCAAGTGCCAGAGGCAGACAAGAAACAGAAACAGATAAGCCTAGATGGTATCTAGGTGCTACCTAGAAAAAGGACAGAAAGTCAGGTCTGCTAGAGGGAAAGAGAGGGTGGGCTGAGTGAAGAAGACACCTGAGTGAAAGGACCCAGGACACAGCCAATGCAAAGGCCCTGAGGGAGGACCACGCCTGGCTCAGTTGAGGAACAGGGAAGAGGCCATGAGGCTGGAGTGGAGTGAGCCAGGGGAAGGGCGGAAGTGGGTGAGGACAGGAGGTGGCTGGGCAGAACATGCAGGGCCTTGTGAACCTCTGGGAGGGCTGTGGCTTTCTGCCCCCAGTGAGTTGGGAGCCAGTGAGGATTCTGAGCAGAGAAGGGATGTGACCTGACTCAAGTATCCACAGGCGCCCTCTGGTGGTTTTTTGCTGGAATAGACTAGGGCACCAGGGTGGGAGCTGAGCGGGGTGGAGGGACTGATTACAACAATAAGAAGCAGCTAACAATGACTGCGCACCTATATGCGGCTCGCCCCACTGTTTATATGACTTAACTCATCTAGGTAACTCTGGCCAGCCTGTTATCTCAGGGTGTGTCCCACCTCTCTGAGCCTCAGTTTCTTCACCTGTAAACCGGGGACAGACCTGGACAGGGCTCAAGGTTGTCGCAATCCCTAGGAGCCAGAAGGCCTAGGTAGTTCTGGGGGCCGTGCAGCCATGGGTGGCCTAGCCCTGCCCCTCACACCCACCCCGGCCCTGTGTGTGCAGGGGACAGACCTGGACAGGGCTCAAGGTTGTCGCAATCCCTAGGAGCCAGAAGGCCTAGGTAGTTCTGGGGGCCGTGCAGCCATGGGTGGCCTAGCCCTGCCCCTCACACCCACCCCGGCCCTGTGTGTGCAGGGCGGCGACGCAATGTGAACTGCCTGAAGAACGTGGTAATCTGGTACGAGGACCACAAGCACCGCTGCCCATATGAGCCGCACCTGGCCGAGCTGGACCCTACCTTTGGCCTGTACACCACAGCCGTGTGGCAGTGCGAAGCTGGGCACCGCTACTTCCAAGACCTGCACTCACCCCTGAAGCCGCTCAGCGACTCAGACCCCGACAGTGACAAAGGTGGGTCTGCAGCACGAGGGCACACAGTGGCCTCCAGTGTCTGGAGGTCTACAGCCTCTCAAGCGGAGAGTCACCCTGGACTCCCTGCCCTCCTGGGTCTTGCCAGCCTTAGGCTACTGTCATAAATATCACAGCAACTAGATGGCACTGGTTCTAGCTTCAGGGTTGGAGCGTGGATTCATAGAGCCAGACTGCAATCTTTTCAGTCCTTACGGAGCCTGAGAGGCGGTCCCTGTTTCACAGGGACAGCTGAGGTACAAAGCAATTTGACCATCTGTGCCCAAGCCTTTCGCAGGCAGGGCTGGGCTTTGGGTCCTGGAAACCTGGCTCAGTGGCTGGACAGAGGGAAGGGTTACTGGGCCTCAGACTCACCAGGGTGGCTCTTCTCCCCTGGCCTCTTCCTCTTCCTTTATTTTCTCTGGCCCTTTCTCTGGTTCAAGATCTGTCTCTCCCAGTCTCATGTCTTTCCCTCTGTCCACCCTGCTCTCCTTCTCCTTACTCTCCAATCTCAATCCCTCTCCCCCTCTCCCTCTCCCTCCCCCTCTCCCTATCTCCCACTCATCCTTCCTGTATTTCCTCTCTCTCCCTCTCTTGTTTCCTTCCTTTTCCATGCCTCCCTCCACTATCTCTCCCATCTCTCCTCCATCTCACACCCTTTCTGTCTCTCATTCTCTATCCCCCCATCACCCCGCAGTCCTCGTCTCTCAGCGTCCCTGCCCCTCTCCTGCCATCCCACACTGGTCACATGAATTGGCTGGCTGCCAGCTCAGGACTGGGAGGGACTCAGTTACGAAGGTCCAGTGGGACTTGGTGGGGGAGCAGAGGAGACATTGTGGGTGAGGGGCTGCCCGCCTGCTTCAGGGACTTGGCATGAGCTGTGAGAAAGATCGTGGGGCCTGCTGCCAGGTGCCCTACCAGGACTGAGGGTGGGGTCAGTCACAGGGCTGAGTGCTTGCTGGCAGGCATCTCGGAGCAGGTGGCATCCCAGCTGGTGAGGGGAAGCTTTGGGCGAGAGGTGTTCTGGGTAGGCACCCTGGCCAATGGCCGTCCCATTGTGTCAGGCCTCCAGCGTGCAGCCTGCCCCTCGGCCATCCTGTCCTGTGCTCTTCTCCAGGCGCACTCCAAACCACTCTGAGTCCTCCCCACTGCCCTGTCATTAGCCCTACTGAGCAGTTGAGGAAATTAAGGCCTTGGGAGTAACATGACTGGCCCATCTGTTGACGAGTCCAGCTGGGATGTGTGTGACACCCCGAGGAGCCCCCTTGCACCTCAACCTAACACTGACACTGGTGGCTGCTGGATCTGGGCTCTTGGGAATGAACCCTGGGATTGATTAGCCAGGTCTGCCCTTGGTGCTGGGAGCCATGAGGGAGTGGCTGTGTCCCTGACCCAGCCCTGTTCCCTCAGCAGCACCCTTATCTGCTCTGTGCCTGGGGCAACCCTGCCACCTCTCACTCAGGAAAAGCACCTCCTGCCAGGACTGTGGGAGGCTGGGGGTGCACAGTCGTGAGTGCTGTTATCATCTTGAGAGAAGTACAGTGTCAGCCTTAACAGCTGGACGCTGCAGTCAGGGACCCACATGCACACCCAGCTATGCCCCCCAACTCACTGGGTGGCTGCCCCTCCGTCAGGGTAGAGCCGGGGACAGGAAGAAGGGGCCGATCCCCTGCTACCCTTGCTTCCACCCCAGGGCCTGAGTCAGGGGTGGGCGACTAGGATACTAAAGATAGTGGGAAACATTGATAGGGAGCTTACTCCTAAGCCCTTTACACATATTTGCTCATTATATACCCAAAGGTAGGTGCCAAGTTACCCCCAGGCCCAGAGGGATTATATAAGGCACCTGTGTTCACCCAGCTGGAAGAACAAGCACTGGAATCCCCACACACACACCAGTTGTCTGTCTCCAGAGCCTACACTCTCCATGTGACCCTCTTGGGTTGTGGGACACATGGTTCCCAGACAGCGTGTCCCAACTGTGTCACAAGTGTGTAACTTTAGGGACAGTCATTTTTCCTGTCCCCAGTTTCTCCTTATCTGGGGACATTAGCACTGAACACCTGGGTAAAATGTCAGCCCCTTTGGCCTTCATCACAGCCTTAGTCTGAGAGTCATTCACTTTTACAAACATGTGCTCACTTGTACCATACAGCCTTGTGGGCTCTGGGGACTGCACAGGCACCCCTTACAGTAGACTAGTAAAATACAGAGTACACTGGAAGGCAGTAAGTATTTGGGGGGAAAATAAAGGAAAGACAAGGTGGTCAGAGGCCTCCCTGAAAAAAATACTATTGATGGAGTGAGGGAGGGAGCCCACACAGGTGTCTGAGAGAAGAGGGTTCAGGCAGAGCAAATGTCAAGTGCAAGGGCCCTGAGGCTGGAAGCTGTCTAGTGTCCCTAGGCACGGGAGGGAGGCCAGCAGGGCTGGAGTGTGGCCTGTGGCTGCTTTGCCCAGTGAATTGGGAAGGGCCTTACCTCAGTAAGACCAGCTGCTGAAACAGACACACCCCAGTGCTCCTGACCCACAAGTTTGCCTTCCATCCCAGGACTCAGTTTCTTTCTGTTCTCGGTTTCCAGCCTCCGCTGAGTCCTGGCTGGCTGGTGGGGACAGAGGTGGAAGCTCCTGGCTGGGAGTTCACTACCATTCACATTCCATTGGGACTCAGCTGTGTGACCACACCTATCTACAAGGGATGCTGGGAGACGTAGTCTACCTGGGTATCAGGAGGAACAGGCTCAGGTTTGGTGAGCATCTGGCCTGTCTCTTTCACAGAAAGTGATGAGCAAGTTCTCAGTTGAAGAGGAACATGACCTAAGCAGGTGTTCGTAGGCTCCCTGTGGGCACTGCAGGGAGGACAGACTGGGGAGGCGGGAGTGAAGTAGGAGCCAGGGGACCAGGTAGAAGGGACTGCATGGTCCTGGCAGGGGGATAATGGGGACATGACCAGAGTGCACAGGTGAGGTGGGAGAAGCTGTCAGCCTGTGGATGTATTTTGGATGCAGCACCACCAGGTTTTTCTGACAGATTGGAAGTGGGTGTGAGAGAAAGGGAGAAGTCAAGGATAGCCCCGGGACTTGGCCTGAGCAGCTAGAGGACAGAGCTGCCACCCACTGTGACAGGGACATCCGTGAATGCTGCGGGCTTTTTCTGAGTGCAGATTCAGAGCCCAGAGTTGCTGAGTGGAGTATGAGATGTCCGTGAGACCCCCATGGTGGGGTGGGAGCAGCAGAGGAGGCAGGGGGACGTAAGAGTCTGCAGCTCCACCGGAGGACCAGGCAGGCGCTGTCCACATGGAGGAACCAGGGTGGTGGTGGCATCATAAAAATAGATATTTGGTCTTTGTTCCCAGTTCTTGGCATAGAGCTCATAAAACCCTAGGAATTCCCTGAGTGATAGAAATGTTTTTCATTATCATGAGTCCCTTTCATAAGGAGCCCCTTTGGAACATACCTTGGTCTATACTAATGAGGTGATTCAGGGAGGGGCCCCAGGATACTTTCAGGAGGGGGACTGGTCACCAGAAAGACCAAACACGTGATTAGAAGGTAGAGATCTCTCAGCCCTACCTCAATCCCCAGGGAGTGGACAGGGGCTGGAAACTGGGTTATAAAAACTCTTGAGCAATGAGGTTCAGAGAACTTCCAGGTTGGTAAACACGTGGAGGTGCTGGGAGGGTGGCTTACCTGGAGAGGGCCTGGCAGCTCTGTGCCCCTACCCCTGTACCTTGCATTATACATCTTTTCCATCCGGCTTTTGATGAGTTACATCCTTTATAATAAAACTGTGATCAGAAGTAGAGCATTTTCTTGAGTTCTGTTTGTTGTTCTAGCAAATTATCAAACCTGAGCAGGGGGGGTCGGTTGTGGGAACTCCCAGTCTAGTAGTACCAGAAGTACAAGTGGCCCAGGACTTTCAGCTGGCATCTGAGGTGGAGCAGTCTTGTGGTGTCTGATGCTAAGTCCAGGTAGATAGTGTGAGAATTGTATTGAAACCAAGCTGATGTCACAGTCAGGGCTGTATTTAACACCATCACCCTGGCTAAGACCCTGGGATGAGCAGAGCACTCAGGAGAGGCCCTGGCTAGAACCTTCCAGACCTATAAGAGCAAAAGAAGAGACTGAGAAGGAACCATGCGGGAGGGGCTAAGAAACTAGAGTGGGTCCAGAGGCCAAGGGAGGAGAGTGTTTTTGAGGAGCAGGAATGACCCGAGGTTGGAGACTGAGAAGTGACTGCTGTTTGTGGCAGTGAGGAGTCACAGCGCCCTGGTGAGCCCTCAACAAACACCAGCTGCTGCTGCCACTATTGTAACTGTCCCCTTTCCTCTGTCACCACAGTAGACAATGGCCTGGTGGTCAGCAGCTCTGACTCGTCCAGCTCCGGCTCTGGCTCTGACTCCGAGGAGCCCCCTGAAAGTCAGCCAGCCAAGGTGACAGTGGCAACAGCGGCAGTTACCCCCACTAGCCCAGTGGGCAGCAGTGGACTCATCACACAAGAGGGCGTGCACATCCCTTTTGATGTCCACCACGTGGAAAGCCTGGCCGAGCAGGGCACCCCGCTGTGCCCCAACCCAGCAGGCAGTGGGCCTGAAACTCTGGAGACAGTGGTGTGCGTGCCAGTGCCTGTGCAGGTGGGCCCGGGCCCTGGCACCCTCTTTGAGAACATGCCCCAGGAGGCACTGGGAGAGGTGGTGGCCAGCTGTCCCATGCCAGGCATGGTGCCTGGCTCTCAGGTGATCATCATTGCAAGCCCCGGTTATGATGCCCTCACGGCCGAGGGCATCCACCTCAACGTGGCAGCAGGCAGCGGTACCCCCAATGGGGGTCTGGGCGACGAGGTGCCCTGCTCCATGATGGAGGGTGTGGCAGCCTACACCCAGACGGAGCCTGAGGGCAGCCAGCCCAGCACCATGGACCCCGCCACCATGGCAGGCATGGAGACCAAGAAAGGTCTGGGGGGCCATGCTAGTCTGGGAGGGCTGGGGGGAATGCGGGAGGGGGAGGGGAAGGAGTGGCCCCACAGCGGGTTCCTCGACAGCCTTAGTCCCCACGGACACCCACCCTGTGTCCACCCCGTAGAGAAGGAGGACCTGTACATGCTCAAAAAGGAGGAGAAGGAAGAGCCAGTGGCCCCAGAGCTGGCCGAGCTGGCAGCGACAGTTCCTGCGAGTACAGAGCCTGAGGCAGAGGCCGACGGGGAGGAGCTGGATGGCAGCGACATGTCAGCCATCATCTATGAGATCCCGAAGGAGCCTGAAAAGTGGGTGTCGGGTGGGTGGGGGCAGAGACGAGGACAGCTGGCCGGGTGTGGGAGTCCTGACGCCATGAGACCCTTCCCCTCCAGGAGGCGGCGGAGCAAGCGGTCACGGGTGATGGACGCTGATGGCCTACTCGAGATGTTCCACTGTCCCTACGAGGGCTGCAGCCAGGTGTATGTGGCCCTCAGTAGTTTCCAGGTGAGGCCACCACCCAAGTGGCTGGGCAGGGCCTGCTTCTGTGTTCAGATGCCTATAAGCTGGGGTGTGGGCAGTGTGGCTTGTGGAGGGCCCCAGCAGGCGCCACAGGCCTGCCTTCCACATGCTCACTCACCCCAGCTGATCTTAGCAGCTTCTCACAGACCCTGCCTCAGCCACAGAGCACCAGGCGTCACCTCGCCACCTTGCCTCCCCACTCTCCAGGGCACCGACCCGCAGCTTCTCTCTGCACACTCCAAGTGGCTGCCTGGTCCTGGCCTGGTGGCTTCCCACACCCTTCTGCTCTTCTGGCCGCCCAAACTCCTCCTACCTCTGCCCAGGCCACCCTCTCAGCTCAGGACACCCCTGAACCCACCAGGAAGCCCACGCCAGTCCCCCAGGACTGGTGGGGCCTGTGAGCCCCAGGTCACTGCACCACCAGGATGTACTGTAGTTTGCCCTCTGGGCCTGGATGGGACGCCCCAAGGGCAGAGACGGTCATATTCCCACTCTGGGCACAGGAGGTGGCACCAGTAGACCCTTGTATTTGCTGAGTCATGTTTTCATTAAGCACGTATTGAGCACCTGCCAGTGCCAGGCCTGGTGCTGGGCACTGGAGTTGTAGATGTCCTAGTGAGTTTAAAGAATGAAAAGAGAAAGGAATGAGTGACTTGGGGAGTATCTTATCTGCCCCAGGCCCTAGGGGCAACATACCACCATAGCAAAGAGCTCTCTGGGGGGCTGACAGCCCTGGAATCCAGTCCCAGCCCTGCCACTGCCCACCTGTGAGACATTGGCCAAACCACTGAGCCTCTGGAGCCTGTTTCTCTATCTATAAACAGGGCTAATGTCTGGGCCCCTTCCCAGGGTTATGACAAAGTTGACTGGAGTTCCATCTCGGAGCCTGGCTGTAGCAGGTGCTCAGTAAAGCTGCTATTTGATCCCAGTTTGGCCCTTGGGCCCCATCTCCGAGCTGGGAGTCCATCCCAAGGGCAAAGGCACCCCTCTTCCCTCCTTCAGCGAGTTCAGCCCCAGCCTGCCTCCCAGCTGCCCTCACTGTCCCCACAGCACCCACAGCCCCACTCTTGCCTGTCTCACCCCCAGAATCACGTCAACCTCGTGCACCGGAAAGGGAAGACCAAAGTGTGCCCCCACCCTGGCTGCGGCAAGAAGTTCTATTTATCCAACCACCTGCGGCGGCACATGATCATCCATTCAGGTCAGGCCCAGGGCCTGGGCCTCAGAGCCAGGGCTGGGGCAGGTGGGGTCAAACTCAGGCATGGGACTGCCCCTCTCAGAGCCACCTCCGTCCTCCACATGGGTTGGCATGAGATGATGGAAGTGCGGCGATTAACCAGGTGCCCTCTAGGCATCTCCCTGGTGCTAAGCTGGAACTGTACAAGTCACAGTGACACTGACTTATAAATCGTGGAACTGGGCAAGGGCTGGCTGTTTCTTCTACAGCTTGGGGCCCCATGGCCTCCCCACCCTTATTAATATAAGCAGGTCTCATGCAGGAGCAGTTTCGGGGCTAAGGGAGGACAGTGAACCACCCCAGATGGGCAGGATGGTGGAACGAGCTTGGGACAGGGCCTCTGTTCTGCTCCAAGTTCCTCCTTTGCCTAGGGCTTGGGCTGCGGACACAGTAGCCAGCACTGGTATCTGTGCCCAGCATGAGGGCACAGCTGAAAATTTTTCCAGACCAGAACTTTGGGTTTTTATGTGAAGTTGCCTCAAAGTTCAAATATTGGGGTCAAATTTAGACCCATCTTGGCTTGACCATTTTTACACCCTGTGCACCGCAGGGACCCGAGTTCACATCCCAGCTCTGCTCAGGGTATTCCTGGGCAGCCTCCCCAAGTCTCAGGTGGGGCTGTGAGTCTCCCTTTTTGTTAGCCCTTCTCTTTATTAGAGTTGGTGATCAAGCCCGGAAGATGTGTGGTTTGGTCTGTCTACACCCTGTCTGGTCTCTGCAGCGCAGCAGAGACACCTGACAGCCCCCTCTCCAAGGGTGGAGCCTCAGCCTCGCGTTTTCCCCAGGTGTCCGTGAATTCACCTGTGAGACCTGTGGCAAATCCTTCAAGAGGAAAAACCACCTGGAGGTACACCGGCGCACGCACACCGGCGAGACACCTCTGCAGTGAGTGATGGGCATCCTGCGAGGGAGCTGGGAGGGAGGGGATCCCGGCCTGGACCCCTACGAAACAGGTCTTACTATCGGGCTCCACCTCTCGAGTTGCCATGCCCAGTTCCACTTGCACTCAAGTCCCAGGTGGTGGTGCCCCTTTCTGGGGCCAGCCTCGCCCCTGTGGTTGAGCCCCAGCCCCGCCCTCTCTGACCCCGCCCTGGTGCCACCCACCAACTCCCTGCAGGTGCGAGATCTGCGGCTACCAATGCAGACAGCGCGCATCGCTCAACTGGCACATGAAGAAGCACATGGCCGAGGTGCAGTACAACTTCACATGCGAGCGCTGTGGGAAGCGTTTCGAGAAGCTGGACAGCGTCAAATTCCACACGCTCAAAAGCCACCCGGACCACAAGCCCGCCTGACCCACCCGACCATTGACCGTCCCTATTTATTCGTGTGCTCGCTCGGACGCTACACCCGGGCCTGTTGGGCCCATGAGACAGCTGCGGGGGCTGCTCAGACCGCAGGCCGGAAGGAGGCACCCTACCCCGCCCCAGGGCTGGTCCCCTCACCCCACCCCGCCTTGTCTCCGGAGCTGGCGCCTGGGGCTGCACTACTGGAACAGTTTCAAGAGAACAGAGCGAGATTAAAGAGCAAGAAAGGAGATGTCCTTTCCTGAGGCCTGGATGATTTTGAGGGGAATGGGCTCTTACCCTTTCCTGAACAAGGCTTGAGGCGGGGGAGGAAGGGGATGCCCCTGCACACCAGACAGGGCCCTTTCCTGTCAGCCTCAGCAGTGCTTGGGCAACCCTGAACACCCTCCTCTCACACGATCAGGGCTGTGTGGTTTGGGGCCTAGGGAGGCCATTGGACATCTCCCAGGACTCAGTACTGACGCTTGGTCCTAAAATCCCTCATAAGTCACTCATTCCCCACCCTAGAGAGCTCAGGGACCCGTTGGGGAGATGTTCAGTACAGAAAATAGAGTAGTATATTTCCGGGGGGTGCTGTTTAGGTCGATGGTCAGGGAGGGCCTCTCTGAGGAGGTGGCAATTGAACATGGACCAGAATAACAAAGGTTCCATCCCTGAAGAAAGCTGGGGGAGGTAAACCCCAGGCCGAAGGAACAGCCAGTGCCAAAGCACCAAGGTAGAATGAGCTCAGCGTGTTCCTGGAACAGGAAGCTGCAGGGATAGGGGTGGCTGCCCTGGCCCCATTTCCCAGAGGAAGAGGGTGAGGCTGCCGCTGCCTCTTCATCCTGCAGGCAGCCAGGGAGTGAGACCAGGCAGCGTGGCCGCCAGGTGGCGCGCAAGCCGCTTGGGTCCTGATGGCTGCAGCCACGTGACCACGGGGACCGCAGCCGCGAGCCTGGGCACGTGCCCTAGGGAGCCCTGAGGCGCCCTGTGCAGATTGGCCTTGCTGACTCCTCACCAGCTCATGGGGCGGGGCTGCTGCTCAAGTCTTATTTTATGCTTCGGACACGGGGGCTACCCCAGCCAGGGACAGAAGTGTCGGCAAGGATGAGCGGGTCCGGCCGCTGGGGCCGCCCCCCGCCAGTCGCCCCTTCTCCCACCAGGCTCAGTCCCCTTCACTATCCCCGCATAGCCGGAGCCAGCAGTTTCCATGGGAACCGCAGTCGGGTCTGCGCACCCAAGAGTAGCCCCCTTCCGGCATAGGCGCAGCTTCTGATCCGACAGGACCGGGAGGATCATGGGATGGGGGAACAAGCCATTGCTCCAGGTCTCCAGGGTCGACAACCACGTTGCCCCGGCATACCCTACAGGGGACACCTGGGGACCCGCTTCGCCACCGCCCAGACTGTGCGGGCCACTATGATTGGCCTGCCCTCTCCATAAGCGTGGCAGCTCTCTCTGCTACGCGCGTCCTCATTGGCTCAATCTCGAGGGCGTCCTCTCGCAATTCATTCTCTCGAGGGCTGTCCCTGATTGGTCAAATTAGGTTCTCCCCGCAGGGCTTGACGGCACTCACGGACAGTCTGGAACCTAAAAGAGAGTTCGGGGACGAGGATAGGGTGGGAACTGTGTCTCTCGGGTTTAGGGGGTCCTGGCTACCCCTACCGCAGATCCCTCGATGGGGCCGTCAGGGCGCTGTCTGTGGTGCTGAAGCCTCACTCGCAGGTGTCTCGCGCTAGTGAGCAAACTGCGTGATGGCCGCCCCGACGTGAACTTGCACCTGCGCCTGCGCACCCACGGTGGATTCGCCACACCTTAGTAATGGCCAGGTCCTCCCCAGCAGAACAGGAGCATGACTCCACAGGACGACCAATCACGAGCCCGGAAAGACAGGACATTTACATGGCAGATCTGCCAACCCCAAGTTTATGGGGTCTGAGAAGGCCCAGTGGTTTCACAGCACTGCAGGGCACCAGCGGGATTTTTCTGGAATCCTAAGCCCCAAACCTCTTTACCCCCTTCGCAGCAGTGCTGAGTGCCCCTGAACTGTGGGGTGTCAGTCTCCGCTTTTTGAATCCTAGAGACACCTAGCCCACAGGGTACCAGGTCCTACTGCAGGCAGACTAGGATTCCTGCTATCGCCACCTTCCTCCCTTGGTCTTGGGGGGCTACACCTGGTCCCCCAAGTCTGAGGACCCAGGCCTCCGCCTACTGAAATCTTGGTTCCTTTTCCCTTTCCAATACTCTTGGTGGACAGCACCTCCGGAAGGTCGTACAATCGGGCCACGGATACCTCCTTGTCCTCTTCACTCCTCCAGCTCTGGGTGCTAAACAGAGAAGTGCCGGCCCTGTCCATCGGCCAGAAAACCTTCCCAAAAAAGAGGCGCCAAGACAGGGAGCAGGATCCGCTGGGGCAAAGGGCCCAAATCTGGCGACAGGACTCCCCAGGAAGCTACTAGGGCCAGCGCGCACTCTCTTCCACCTGCCGCGCCGTCGGGCGCCGCGAGGAGGCGGGGCTCGGTTGCTCCAGCCAATAAGCGACGCCGGCGCTGGCAGCTGCTGATATAAAGGGCTGGGGGCGGCGGCTGCGCGGCCCAGATCGCGGAGCGCGCAGCGCTGGCCGGAGGGTGGGAGGGAGGGCGGGCGAGGGGAGAGAACTGAGCACTCCGAACTGGACAGGCCGGGCTGAGGGGCGGCGGCAGAAGGCAGAGCGCCGCGATCTCTGTCGGGAAGCTCAACCTCCCTCGGCCCCGCAGGGCCGCGCAGGGGGCGTTCTCACTCCCGCGCCCGCTCCCTCTGTCCATCCCCTGCTGCCCGCAGACCACTCCGGGGCTCGGTTATCCGCGCGCGTGTCCCCGGGCTCGGGCCGGTCTCCGGCCCTCGAGGGAGCCGCCACCTTCACCGACATCTCTGCAGCGGCGGTGTCAGAGGCGGCCCAGACAGGACCCCGGCGTAAGCATCGAGCGCCCCCCAAGGAGTGCACGACCCCCGGAGCCGCCCTCAACACGGACCGCGCCCGCTGGGCACACAAGAATGGTCACTGTAGGTATTCCCTGTCGCTGAGAGGGAATTTGGTCGAGAAGGGGTTAGGCATAGGCTCCGCGGAGATGGAGTGGCGGGGCGAGGGGGGGGGG